GGGGGGGGGGGAATCCTGGGCTCCATCAGCAGAGGGGTGGCAGCAGGGACTGGGAGGTGATTGTCCCTCTCTGCTTGTGAGGCTCCATCTGCAGCACTGTGTCCAGGTGTGGAGCCCCCAGTACAAAAAAGACAGGGAGCTGTTGGAGAGGGTCCAGAGGAGCCACAAAGATGAGCAGGGCTGCAGCACCTCCACTACAAAGACAGGCTGAGGGAGCTGGGCTTGTTCAGCATGGAGAAGAGAAGGCTGTGGGGTGAATCATTGTAGCCTTCAGGACCTCAAGGGAGCCTACAGACAGGAGGGGAGTCAGCTCTTGGAAAGGGGAGATAACAGCAGGACAAGGGGAAATGGTTTGGAGTTGGGGGAGGGCAGATTGAGGTTGGATGGAAGATTGAGGGGGAAGTTGTTTTTTGTGAGAGCAGTGAGGTGCTGGAACAGCTGCTGAGAGAGGCTGTGGATGCCCCGTCCATCCCTGGAGGTGTTCAAGGCCAGGTTGGATGGGGCCCTGGGCAGCCTGGGCTGCTGTGAAATGTGGAAGTTGGTGTCCCTGCATGTGGCAGGGGGTTGGAGCTTCCTTGAGATCCTTGAGGTCCCTTCCAACCCAAACCATTCTGTCATTCTGTGGGGATGGAGGCGGCTGCTGGAGCAGGACGGCGATGGGGAGGGACAGGGTCTGGGCAGCAATGGGGTCACTGGAGGAGGGTTGTCTCCTTTTTTGGCCGCTTTTCGCCAAACATGCAGGATGGAAATTCCTTCTTTTTCCTTTCCAGTCCCTCTTTGAGCGGCAGGGCATGGCGGCCCATGCGGGGGTCCTGGCAGGAGCTGAGAAACCCCACGTGTCACTGCGCAAAGGGATCCCGAGGACCAAATCTGTAGGTAAGGCATGCGGGGGTCCCGGGGGGTCCCACACCCAACAGGGAGCTCGGCCCTCCCCATGAAGGTCTTGAAATGGGACCCCATAAAGTTCTCAAAATGGCATTCCATGAAGGTCTCAAAATGGGATCCCATGAAAGTCTCAAAATGGGACCCCATAAAGTTCTCAAAATGGGATCGCTTTGGGAGTTCTGCCCTGAGGATGTTGGGGCTGTGGTGGTGGCAGGGAAGGGTGAAGGGGGGAGTCTACAGAGATGAGGCTGCAGTGGGAGAAGGTGGGGGGGCAGAGGGAGGTGGTATTGGGGGCAGGGGGTGGGAAAAGAACGGATTGGGGGTGGTGGGACGATGGGCAAGGAGTGGTGGCACTTACAGACAAGAGGTGGTGGCACGATAGACAGGAGTTGGCACTATGGACAAGGGGTGGTGGCACTTATAGAAAAGAGGTGGTGGCACGATGGAGTAGAGGTGGTGGCATTTATAGTCAAGAGGTAGTGGCATCATGGGCAAGGAGTGGTGGCACCATGGAGAAGAGGTGGTGACACCATAGATAAGAGGTGGCAGGATGGGCAAGAAGTGGTTGGTACCATGGGCAAGGAGTGGTGGCACCATGGAGAAGAGATGGTGGCATTTGTAGTCAAGAGGAAGTGGCACCATGGGCAAGAAATGGTGGCACCATGGACGAGGAGCAGTGGCACCATGGACAAGAGGTGGTGTCAGGATGGACAAGGCACGATAGCAGAATGGGCAGGGGGTGGTGGCACTCATAGACAAGAAGTGATGGCACTATGGATAAGAGGTGGCAGGATGTGCAGAGGTGATGGTACCATGGACAAGAGGTGATGGCACTGTGAACAGGGCACGATGGCAGGATGGACAGGGGGCAGTGGCACCATGGACAAGGAGTAGTGGCACAATGGACAAGAAATGGCACAATGGACAAGAGCTGGTGGCAGGATGGACAGGGGGTTGTAGCACTTACAGAAGAGAGGTGGTTGTACCATGGGCAAGGAGTGGTGGTACCATAGAGGAGAAGTGGTGGCACCGTGGACAAGAGGTGACAGGATGGTCAAGAAGTGGTGGTACCATGGTCAAGGAGTGATGGCACCATGGACAATAGGTGGTGGCACCTACAGACAAGAGGTGGTGGCACCATGGAGGAGGAGTGGTGGCACCATGGGCAAGAGGTGGTGGCACCATGGACAAGAGGTGACAGGATGGGCAAGGAGTGGTGGTACCATAGAGGAGAAGTGGTGGCACCATGGACAAGAGGTGGTGACATGATGGACAAGGCACGATGGCAGGATGGGCAGCGGGTGGTGGCACTTATAGACAAGGACTGATGACCATGGAGGAGTAGTGATGGCACCGTGGACAAGAGGTGGTGGCACCATGGATAAGAGGTGACAGGATGGGCAAGAGGTGGCTGTACCATGGTCAAGGAGTGGTGGCACTATGGAGGAGGAGTGGTGGCACCGTGGACAAGAGGTGGTGGCACCATGGGCAAGGCTGATGGCAGGATGGACAGGAGGTGGTGGCACAATGGACAGGAGGTGGTGGCCCCATGGCAGTACAGTGGCCTGGTTTTTGTTTTCTTTTCTGTGCTGTGTGTCGCTGGGTTTCCCCTGTTGGTCCGTGGGGCTGCGCAGCGGGGCAGGAGCTGCGCCGGGTGCTCATCCCACGTGAGCCTTCGGATGCAGCGGTGATGCCAGAACTGATTGTGCCTTTAACGCACACCGTGAGCAGATAGGAAGCAAATTCTGCGTAGAGACACAGCGGAGAGCGGCGTAATCCCAGTCAGGATGTAAGAGGAACCTGGCCAAGGCGAAGAGCCGCATGCAAAATGTGCTTTATTTTACGCACGGGGCCACGGGATTGCGGCGCATCTGCGCCTCCCGTTTGTGTTTGTGTAAGAGCAGCTGCTGCCTGCGGTCCCACGTGAGGTGGGGCTGAGAGTTGTAGAAAGCCGGAGATAATGCAGTGTGTGTGTGTGATTAATCTGCAAAACAAACGGAGGAGATGAGCTCAGAAAGGAGGAGTGGGTGTTGAATGGACGGCTTCGCACCGTGCCGACAGCGCTGTGTTGTGGCCGCGGAGTTGAGTGCTGTGCTGTGCTGTGCTGTGCTGTGCCTGGGGAGCACGGAGCACCCACAGCTGTCAGGGGTGTGCAGGGGGAGGGCAGCAGTGTGTGCTCCTTGTGCACGAGATGTCTGTTTTGTTCGGGTGAAACGCTTGTGAGCAGAGGCTGCTTGAGGTTCAGTCAAGCTCCAGGTTGTTTTGAAGGGGAGCTGTTGTGTGAAATAGCATCTCAGCTCAGAGGCAGGTCATGAAGCAGAACAGGATTTGTTAAATGCGAGATCCGTGCCTTAAGGAGTTCATTTCTGGTTGTGAAAACAGCCTGTGGCTCAATGGATCTGGCTGAACCCACACGTGGTGCAGTGGTGCAGAGGAGTTACGGAACCGTGGACCCGTTGCTGGTTGGGCTGGAAAGGACTGTGAGCGGCATGGGGTCCAATGCAGCAGGCAGGGATTGCTGCAGGCAGCACCGGGCAGCAGTGCCCATCCCTCTCCCCTCTCACTGCAATGGATTCCTTGCTAAGGGAGCCTGGAAGTCGATCGGGTTGGGTTACATCTCATAGGATTGGCTGAAATAGAAAACAGCCAAGCCTGAGCGCTGGGGATGGGGATGCACTCACATTTATGTGATGCAATCACATTTATGGCCTTGCTGTTGTATTTCTTGGGCTGCTGTGGCTGTAAGAGATTAAAAGAGCCCTCTGTGAGCCGTGGTGTGACAGTGTGACACCACCAGTGTGACACCAACAGTGTGACTCCCAGTGTGACACCCATGGCGACAGGCAGGCTGTGCACACAGGAGGGCTGTGGGGCTTCGGTGGGGGGCTCGGTGCTGTCAGCACGTGGAGCACTGCGTGGCTGCACAGCAATCCAGGGCAGAAGGTCAGAGAGGTTGACATCAGCATCTCAGCATTTCTTGAGGCAAAAGGAATTAAGGAAGGCCTGCCTTGCTGCAAAGGGAGGCAACAGTTCCACGGGCTGCATGGAGCACCCCATGGGGAGGGGTCCTGGAAGGAAGGGGTCAGGAACAGCGATGGGATGGAGGGGTGGGGGTGGCCCCATGGTGTGGATTGGTTACTGGGAATGGTTCCCAGGTGAAAGCTCTGCGTTGCATTCCCATGGGGATTGAGGCTGTTATGGCAACGAAAGCATCACGGCTGTGTTTGCCAGAGCCATCAGTGCTGCGCTCTGTGCTGCGGTTGGATGTCTTGCTGGAGGATTCCTTGGAGCTGCTGCTCTGCCCTGGGGGTGCTCCACTCCATGCTGCTCTGCCCTGGGGTCCCTGAGCCCCACAGAAGGGTCCAGGTGCTGCAGTGCTGCCCACGTGGGGGCTGTGCTCAGCCCACTGCCCAGTGCAGATCTCAGCAGCAGGGCAGCTTCGAGGCAGAGGTGAACAAAGGATGTACTTAGCAGGAGGAATCCATGTTAACCTTGGAGGTGGGGGGTGGGCTCACAGAGTCACGGGGCCGCTCGGGTTGGAATGAGCCCTGAGATCCCCAGTGTGACCCTATTGGTGTGGGGTTTCTTGCTGAACGAGGGCCGTGTTTGGTGAAATAGTCTCTGGGGCAGCGTGGGGCAGAGGGGCTCAGGGAGAGCTCAGTGCTCTGTGCCACTGGTGAAAGGAGGCTGGATGAAGGAGGGGTTGGTGTCTATCCACAGGGAATGGGGGTGGGACGGCAGGGGATGGGCTCAGGGTGCAATGGGGAGGGTCGGGTTGGAGACTGGGAACAACCTGTGCTGCAAAGAGCGATCAGCACTGCACAGCTGCCCAGGGCAGTGGGGAGTCCCCATCCCTGGGGGTGTTCAGTGACCACAGGGATGTGGCACTTGGGGACGTGGGCAGTGGGCACATCTCACTGGGTGGATTTGAGGTTCTTTGGTTTGTTGATGTGATTCTTGTATTAAGAGCCCCAGAAGTTGACATGGGTGCAGGGTCATTGGTGGTGAATGAGAGGGATGAAATGTCTTTGCTCCATCTCTCACAATTTCCCTGCTCACGTTAGAATCATGAAAGCATTGGATCCTTAGCGGCAGAAGGGACCTTTATAGGTCAGTTCATGCAGCTCCCTGCTTTGGACAGGGACACCACAGCTCCATCAGGTTGCCCAGGGACTGATCCAGCCCGACCTTGAAAGTCACTGTGCAGCCTGTGCCGGTGCCTCTCCACCCTCACCAGGAAAGGCTTTTTCCTTATATCCCACCTAAATCTCCCCTCCTTGAGCCTGAAGCCATTTCCCCTCATTCCATCACCACAGACCCTGCTCAGTAATCTGTCCCCTCCCTCCCTGCAGCTCCCCTTTGGATACTGACAGGCTGCTCTCAGGTCCCCTCGCAACCTTCTCCTCTCCATCTGCACAGCCTCAGCCCATCCCCATAGGAGAGCTGCTTCAGCCTTTGGACCATTTTTGTGGCCCTCCTCTGGATGAGCTCCTACAGCTCCGTGTCCCTCCTGTGCTGAGCACTCCCCATCTGCAGAACGGAGGTGCAGATGCTCTCCTTTGTTCTGCTGTGCTGCTTTGGATGCAGAGCAGGTGCCCTGTGCAGCTCAGTGCACCCTCAGCTCACTGCCGGTCAGACTGGGGTTGTAGAAGCATAGAATAGTCCATCTTTCCCCCTGTCTGGTCCCTATGGGTTGCTCCTTCCAGCTGCAGGATTTTGCATTTGTCCTCCTTGAAATTCCAGAGCTTCCTGCTGCCCCATTGCTCACCCTCCCCAGGTCCTTTTGGGGTGTCCAACTTAGCGCTGCGCTCAGCAGCGCTTCAGGTGTCTTTTTCCAAAGTGCTCCCTCCCCACCCCATTCAAAAACACCTCATACTGTAAAGAAAAGCATCAGTTGGGAACAGAAGGAGCACAGCAGTAATTATGGAAGCCTGATGGGCTCCATGTCTGCAGGTGGTTGGTAGGGTTGCTCATGGGATGCTGCACATAGAGCACTGCTGGGCACTGCAGCACACAGCAGAGCTGTGCCTGGGCACGGCTGCAGCTCTCAGTGCACCCTGTGCTCAGTTAGGAGGATACTGCTGACAGTGGCAGCACCTCCCTTGGGCGCTTGCAGGCTGACATCTCTGCCAGACCTGCTGCCGAGCTCAGTCTGGCACATTGCAGCATGTGTGAGCCCTGAAAGGGAGCGGGGTGAGGAGCTGCACTGTGTGAGAGCTGTGCATGGTTGGGTGTGGGAGCTGCAATGGAGCGGGGCTGCAGTGGAGCAGGGCTGCAATGCAGCAGGGCTGCAGTGGAGCAGGGCTGCAGTGTTGTGGGGCTGCAATGGAGCGGGGTTGTGATGGAGCAGGGCTGCAGTGGAGCAGGGCTGCAGTATTGCAGGGCTGCAATGGAGCTGGGCTGCAGTGGAGCAGGGCTGCAATGGAGCAGGGCTGCAGTATTGCAGGGCTGCAATTGAGCAGGGCTGCAATGCAGTGGGGCTGCAATGGAGCGGAGCTGCAATGCAGCGGGGCTGCAGTGGAGCAGGGCTGCCTTTTCTTGGCATCACACGGGGCTGGAGAGTGGCCAGCTTGGCTGGAATAGAATCATAGAAGCATAGAATGGTTTGGGTTGGAAGGGACCTTTAAGATCATCCAGTTCCAACCCCCTGCTATAGGCAGGGACACCTCCCACTAGACCAGGTTGCTTACAGCCCCATCCAGCCTGGCTTTGGATGCCTCCCCATGTCCCTCAGTACATCACATTAAGATTTATTGAACGCTTCCAGGGTCAGCGACTCCACCAACCTCCCTGGGCGGCCCCTTCCTTCCCCATCCCCTCAATTGGCAATTATTTTGCCAACATCCAACCTCAGTCTCCGTGACTCAACTTTAGACCATTATCTTTAGTCCTGTTACTAGTTGTATGGTTGACCACTACCTCCCTTCAGCTTGTTGCGGAGAGCAATAAGGTCTCCCCTGTTCCTCTTCTGCAGACTAAATAATCCCCGTTCCCTCAGCTGCAACTCATAAGGCTTGTAGTCTAGACCAGCCAGAGCTTAATTGCCTTTCTCTGAACACTCTTCAGGGCCTCAGTGTCTTGTGGTGATGTGCCCAAAACTGAACTCAGTACTCAAGGTGTGGCCTACAGGTCCTGAGTACGGAGAGACGATCCTTTCCTCGCTCCTGTTGGCAACACCACTTCCAACACAGGCTGGGCTGCTGGGGGCCTTCTGGGCCACCTGGAGTCACCGCCAGCTCGCCTTCTGATACCACCCGATACCAACGTTGGGTGGTATGGAACATTCAGCTGCCCTGGTTCTGTCCCCTCCTTGTGCCTCCCCAGTCCCTCATTGGCGGTGCTGGGTTGAGAGCGATGGAGGATGACTTGAGGGTCTGTGGTCGTGTGTGCCCCATCCCTGGAGGTGCCCGAGGCCGTGGGGGGGTGCAGGGCAGTGCGATCCGGTGGGCGTGGGGCTGGATGGTCTTCACCCCCCAACCCAACCATTCTGGGAATGTGAGCAAGGAGCCAAACTGCAAATACTTGCATTGAGCCAAGAGCAGGCGAAGCAGAAAGCTGCCTCCAAATGAAGGTGGGGCAGGGGAGGAAAGGGATCCGGTACCCCCACGCTGTCGTGGGTGCTGTGCTCTGGGTGCTCCGGAGAAGCCCTCTCTGACCTCTCTGTTGTTCTGGTTTTCCAGGTGAAGACGAGAAACTTGCTGCTTCTTTGCTGGATGGGAAGTTTCCGCGGAGCACATCGATGCAAGACACCGTTAGGGAAGGGCACGGGATCCCACCGCCCCCCCAGACGGCCCCACCCCCTCCTCCTTCTCCATACTACTTCGACACGGGCCCCCCTCCATCCTTCTCTCCACCTCCACCCCCAGGGAGAGCTTACGACACCATCAGGTCGAGCTTTAAGCCCAGCCTGGAGGCGAAGCTCCACGGGCTGCCGCAGGTCATCAGCGCGGCCGAGATGTACGACCAGGCGAGGACGTCCATCCCCTATCCCGAAAGGCAGAAGAGGGCCCGATCCATGATAATCCTGCAGGATTCCTCCCATCTCCCTGTGGAGCCGACGGAGATCCCCCGGCCCGGCCCGTCCGCAACCCCTCCGGAGAAGCTGAAGAGGAAGGGGAGGGTGATCGACAACCCCTACGCCAACATGGGGCAGTTCAACGTCAGCCTGTTCGCTCCCACCAAGCCGCAGAGGAAGAAGAGCCCTCTGGTCAAGCAGCTGCAGGTGGAGGACGCGCAGGAGAGGGCGGCCCTGTCCATCACGGGGGGCTTCACCAGGGAGCCCTCGCCCACCCGCAGGAGCCATCGCCTGAGCGGCGTGGACTATCAGCACCACGCCGGCATAGCGCAGGTCGAAGCCACGAGCATCCCCTTCGCCACTGCCATCGCTGGGGTCATGAAGGACAGAGACCGACGTCTGGACGAGAAGCGCAAATCCACTGTCTTCCTCTCGGTCGGGGCCATCGAAGGCACCCCCCCCAGCAGCGACATGCCATCCCTGCAGCAGTCCAGGTCTATCGATGAGCGGTTGTTAGGAAGCCGAGATGTACTACTGCCTTCCCCCGTCTCAGCTTTAAAGCCATTAATTAGCAGCTCATCCTCTACGTTCATCCACCCCCTGACGGGAAAGCCCCTGGATCCCAACTCGCCACTGGCGCTTGCGCTGGCCGCAAGGGAGAGGGCCCTCTCCACCCAAGTCCCATCCCGGTCGCCCACCCCGATCCACAGCCCGGACTCCGACAGAGCAGCGCCGCTGTTCGTGGACATCCAAACCAAAGAACCGGAGAGGGTGGAGCTGGAGAGCTTGGTGTCCCCCGCCTATTCGCCCGGAGCGAAAGGGGCCGTGGCGGCGGCGGAGGCGGCGGCGGCGGCTTTGACCCCCGCCAAGAGCCCGTGGGGAACGCCGTCCACGCTGAGGAAAGAAGCCGAGGCAAGGGTGGAAGCGCCCGGCAAGGAGGAGAAGAAGCCGGAAGACAAGAAGTCCATGATCATCAGCATCGTGGACACGTCGCAGCAGAAGACTGCCGGCCTGATCATGGTTCACGCCACAAGTAACGGCCAAGACGAGATTGGACTTGAGCTGAAGGAGGAGAAGCCGGCGGTGCCCGAAGCATGCGCGGAGCCGGCGGAGCCGCCCAAAGCGGAGCCGCAGCCCAGCCCTGCGGGGAAGGCCCCGGGCAGCCCTGCCGCCGACAAGACGCTGGGGCAGGGCAGCTCGGAGGAGGAGGTGGAGCCCTACACCGTGACGCTGCCGCCGGCGCAGCTGTCCTCGAGCGACGAAGAGACCAGGGAGGAGCTGGCCAAGATCGGGTTGGTGCCTCCGCCCGACGAGTTCGCCAACGGGGTCCTGGTCACCACCCCCGGCACCCCCGTCAGCCACCTGGCGACGCCCAGCACGCCATCCGCACCAGCGGCAGCAGGAGCTCCTCCGACCGCGGGCGGAACACCCTCAGGGAAGCCCCCCGATGCCCCCGCAGCCCCGGAGTCAGCAGCCGACTCGGGTGTGGAAGAGGTGGACACCAGGAGTTCGAGCGACCACCACCTGGAGACCACGAGCACCATCTCCACGGTCTCCAGCATGTCGACGCTGTCCTCGGAGAGCGGGGAGCCCACTGACACATACACTTCCTTTGCGGACGGACAAACTTTTATACTCGAGAAGCCACCAGTGCCTCCAAAGCCAAAACTCAAGTCCCAGCTCAGCAAGGGGCCAGTTACTTTCAGGGACCCACTTTTGAAGCAGTCTTCGGACAGCGAGCTCATCTCCCAGCAACATGCGGCCACGCTGGCGTCCGCCAGCATTGGCCGGCCACGCTACCTCTTTCAGAGAAGGTCCAAGCTATGGGGGGACCCCATGGAGAGCCGGCCGATCCACGGGGCTGACGACGACAAGCCAACTGTGATCAGCGAGCTGAGCTCCCGCCTGCAGCAGCTGAACAAGGACACGCGGTCGCTGGGGGAAGAGCCGGCCGGCTCCGCGCTGGATCCCGGCAAGAAGTCTCCGGTGGTCGCGGCACGGTAAGAGGCTGCGTGGCGCCCGGGGCTGCGCGGTGCCGTGGGCCGGGTGGGCGTCGGGGCGTTCCAGAGGCGTCTGTCCTGCTCGGATGGGGAGCAGCACGGCCGTCCTTCCCCTGGGGCTGTGCGCGCTGCCCGCTGCTCCGCGCTCGGCTCCCCCGTCGGCCGCCCCTCCTCTGTGTCCGCTCTCGTGAAGCCGCTGTGTTCTGTTGTGGGTTTCCTTTCCAAATGTTTTCTCCCGAGCAATTAATTAACGGCGACGTTTGTTTCCCCGGTGCTTTTCATCTGGAAGTGCTCTGAGTGTTGTCAGGCTGCGGGGCGGCGCTGCCAGTCGTGGGGCACGGCAGCGGTGCCGGCTGTGCCGCGGGGCACTGAGGGTCAGGGTTCCATTTCCCACATGGATTTGTGCTCAGACTGACAGAACGCAGAGCCGTAGGGCTGGAAGGGACCCCTGCAGCTCCCCTCGCCCAGCCCCCTCAGTGGCCCCCCCAGCAGCTGCACGCAGAGCTTCCAGGTGGGTTTGGATCCCCGCAGAGATGGAGGCTCCCCCAGCTCTGTGGGCAGCGGTGCCGGGGCTCTGCCACCCCCACAGCACAAAGTTCTCCCTCACAGTCACACGGAGCTCCCCGCTTCCCCACAGATCTACATGTAAAACAGCAAAACCAAAAAAACTCCCGATTGCAACCTGAGATGTGAGAGCAAACCCTCGGAAGGCTCTGAGATGCTCAGTGAGTGCCCCACTCTGGCAACCGCGCTGTGCCCACCCCAGTGAGCAGCTCCCACCCCCCCCGGTGCCCCCCCGCCATGCCCACACCGTGGGGTCAGCCAGGAGCTGGGAATGGCGAGCTGAAGGGAGCATTGATCCGAGGAGCCGCGTGTGCTGCGCTCGGTGCGGCGGCGGCTCTCCAAGCCATGCCGTGCGCTCACAGCTGGAGGCATTTTGGAATGGAGCAGGGGGGTACCGTGCCCTGCAGCCCCCCAGGAGCGGCTCCCGCTGCCCTGCTGACCCACTTCTGGCGGGCACCAGACCCGTGGTTGCCATCACAAAGAGGAAGGAAACCTCTGGATCTTGCCGTGCTTTCGCTCTGATGGGTTCAGCCCCACGTCGGCGCTGCGGCCGCTCCCTGCAGAGCCGTGGTCCTCACTGTGCTGCTCAGCTGGGACCCGGGGTCCTGTGCTGGGTCAGCTGCATCCGAGGGCCATCTGGAGTAAGGCGTGCATTGCTCCAGTTCTGGAACGCTCTGCAGCAACGCTGGGTGGGGAAGGGTCCTGATCTGCTGGTGACCGGGCACGGTGTCTCGGTAGCCCACCTACAGGATTTGGGCCCTTTGCTGGGAGCAATGTGAGGCACAGCCAACCCCCCCCACACACAGCTGCTGGTGCTGGGGGTGCTGGGGTGCCCATCTCCCCCCTTTTTGGGTCTCCCGGAGCAATCAGTGAAAAGCACCCGCGGCTCCCACCTGCAAACCCTGCTGTCCCACACCCACCTCCCCCCTGCCCTCCTGTGTCCCACATCACCGCGTCCTGGTGCTGATCCCCCATCCCCATAGGTGTGTGAATTCCCCCATTCCTGGGGAACCCTCGCCCCATCCCTGCCCCTCCTCCATGCCCACCTCCCGCACTGCAGCACTGCATCCCCACCCCCATCTCCCTTAACAACCCCCCCAAAGCTCTGCCCTGGCTGTGGATTGCTGCAGTGACCCCCTGTGCTGAGACTCTGTCCTCTTCCTCCTCCTCCTCCTCCTCCTCCTTCCCCCCAGCTGCAGGGAATGCCTTGCCCCCTCCATGTCCTCCCCCACCCTGAGCACTCCGTGTTCTGTGCTCCCATGGATTGCAGTGTTCCTCATCCCCTCCTGGAGCCTTGCAGCTCTGCCATTATTTTGCTCTCGGTTGAAATTCTTGCAGTGCTCCCCAGGAAACCCACTGCAAATGGAGCACGCGGCGACGTCGGCCGCTCCACCTCGTTGTGAGAGAATTCCTCTCTTCTATGAAACTGCTGTAAATTCAGAAGGTGATGCCAAGAACAGTCAGGATAAATGTAGGTGACCCATTGCAGGGCACGTGTTCCAGTCCCTGGACCTGTCCTGAGATAAACAGCATCACCCAGCACTGCCACAGCGACCGCCCCGCAGGCTGCAGTGCTGCAGTGCTGCAGTGCAGTGGGACCTGCAGCCCTGAGCTCTACGGGGGCTGTGGGATGGGCACGAGGAGAGCACAGTGCTGCTGCAGCCAGGGCTTTGTGCTGGAGCTCCTGCACACGTGGAAAGCAACGGGGCCGTGCCCTGCCTTGTGCTGCAGCTTCTCTGTCATGCTCATATTTTGCACTGCTCCAGAAAGGGCCATGAGCTGAACTGCGGCTCCTGCCTGCAGCCAGCACTGCTCTGGAACCAGCACATGTAATGGAGCCAGCACTGTTCTGGACCCAGCACCACTCTGGAGCCAGCACCATTCTGGAGCCAGCACACTTAATGTAACCAGCACCATTCTGGAGCCAGCACACTTAATGTAACCAGCACCATTCTGGAGCCAGACGGTGTCCCGCAGGGCTCAGGGCTGAGCAGGACCCCTGGCAGAAGCCCCCCATGAGCTGCCATCTCAGTCGGTGCCTCCCCAGGCTCCGAAGCGCTGCTGCAGGCAGGAGGAGCGGGGCGGTCGTTGTGCACTCGTGGTGTTTTGTGGCTGGAGTTCGTTTTGAAGCGCATTACGTCCTGAATTTACAGCAGTTGCATCCGAGGGCGAGGGATGCTGCTGTGCTGCAGTGCACACGGATGTGTTCCTGCAGAGGGCACCTCCAGGAGCAGAGGACGGAAGCGCTTTCTCCATCTCTCTAACTCTGTGTCTCCTCCCAAGGCAGTCTGTCCCAGGAGGACCTTTGACAAGAGGCACTGGAAAAGAGGCCAAGGAATACTGAGAATGAGAACCTAAGCTCAGAGTTGAGGCATTCAATAGAGGGAATGTTTGTCCCACCCTCCCCAAGCCCTCCATCCCCGTGCAGACGGGCTGAGCCTGCCGAGGAAGCCCCGCTGCAGCCATGCCCACGCTTTGCTTGCTCCCGGCTCAGCCTCCTGCTCAGCGTGGCCGTGAGGTGCCCGTGGGGCCCCGCTGTGTTGTGGGACCACGGGATGACCCCAGAGCTGGGAACACACCGACCTCGCTCCCCTCTGACCGCTGCGTGCGGAGCAGCTCCCGGGGGGCCGCCCCGAAGCCCGCAGCAGCGCGAGGGTCGGGCGCGAAGAGCTGCTGACCCCACGCGGTTCAGGAGCTGCTGACCCAACAGCTGTGCCATCCATTACCACAATAAAGCTGTCGTGAACCAACAGAGGTGTAACGTTTCTGATTAGCGCTCAGTGAGTCAGAGCGGCCGCGGCGAGGAGCTGCACGGAGCTGAAGTCGTGCTCCCCAGCGTGACTCACAGTTCCAGTGGGGCTCGGAGGCGTTGCTCTTCAGGGTTTCATTCTGCTCCTGGCTGTGGCCACCTGGCCCTGCAGAGCTGTGCCATCCTGATGGAGCTCCCGGGTTGCAGGGCTGCGTGTGAGCTGTGCTGGCTGGAGCCAGGAGCGCAGCAAGTGCCAACACGGGGGGGCACAGAATCACGGAGCGGCACTAAGCTCATCTGATGGCAGCCCCCAGCAGCTCTGGGTTGGGTCAGCACAGCTCTGGCTCAGCGTGAGCGTGAGACTTTTTGTTCGCTCCTTTGCATCTTTGCGTCTCAGCAGCAGCCAAGCAGGTGGCAAAGCAGAATTTCAGCTGCAGAACGGAGTTGTTCGGGTGCTGTTTCTGGAGAGCCACAACTGCTTTGTGTCTGTACAGACGGGAAAGGGAGGAGAGAAATAAGCCTTCAGGCATCTAGCTGCCAGGGCAAAGCCACCTCTTTCTACATAACCCAACGGTTAAATGTGATGCAGTGAAATGGTGTGGGATGCATTCATGCTTGTCCAGAGTGGGATTCAGGAGGAGCGGAGCAGCAGGCGGCCGAGCTGTGGCTGCCAGCATGGCTGCACTGGTGGCCCAAAGGGAGACAGATGAGAGGCACTCAGTGATGGCAGATCCACAGTGCAGGGATGTGCACCCCGGTGCAGGAGAAGAGCTGTAAGGGGGGCTCCTTCTGGACAGAAGACCTCCAGCCCAGCTCCGTCATCAGCTGCAAAACCACCTGAGAGAAAGCAGCCGGAGGATGAGATGCTCCGGTGTGGAAAAGGATGAAGGGAGAGAGCTGGAAGTGTGTGTTGGAGTCCTATTCCTCTTCTGGCTCACTCCTTGAGCACAGCAAGTCGCCGCAGCACGGCACAGCATGGCACGGCACGGCACAGCATGGCACAGCATGGCATGGCACAGCACAGCATTACATGGCATGGCGCAGCATGGCACGGCATGGCACGGCACGGCATGGCACAGCGCAGCATGGCATGGCACAGCACAGCATAGCATGGCATGGCATGGCATGGCAAGGCACAGCATGGCACAGCACGGCATGGCACAACACGACACATCATGGCACAGCAAGGCACAGCATGGCACAGCACGGCACGACGCAGCATGGCACGGCATGGCACGGCAGGACAACTTGGTGGCAGTGCCTGGCGTTCCCAGGGGATAACAGCACTTCCTCCATGCACAGCATCCCTCCTCGGGCCATGCAGGGCTGAGCTGAGCTCCTCCATGCACCATTCCTCAGCTCTGGGTCAGGGTCTCCATGGGTGCCCGGCAGCTCCTGCTGCTCGTGGTCCTTTCTTTGGCCAAGCACACCAGCACATCCCGTGATGAGGGCGCAGCAGAGCGGTGGCACTGCTCCTTCCTCCCCGCTGGATCCTGGTTCAGGTCTGAGAAATTCCTGCCAATTTCTTTGCATTGTGAGCACAACTTACGGGACCAAAAAAACAAAGCAAAGCTGTGGATGAGTCCAATGATTGCCTCGTGATTTCGGCAGCTGCTGAGACAGTGCTGAGCTGAACCTTGGGCACAGCAAGGGCTCCAGGCAACGACATACTGCTGCTGGGGGTGGT